TCACTTAGCACAGCTGTTCTCAAGGGTCATCCATGTTGTATTAATAGCATGCATCAGAGTGTCATTCCTTTTTAAGGATGAATCATATTTTATTGTGTGTATATACCACATTTTGTTTATCCACTTGTCTGTTGGACATTTAGGTTATTTCCATCTTTTAGCTATTATAAAGAACGCTGCTATGGACACTGGTGTGCACACTGAGACCCCGCTTGCAATTCTTTGGGATTGATACTCAAAGTGGAATTGCTGGATCATGTTAAATGTTTAACTTTCTGAGAAGCCAACAAACTTGTGCATAGCAGTTACACTATTTTACATTCCCAACAGCAATGCACAGGGGCTTCCGATCTCTCCACATCCTCACCAACACTTATTTTCCATTTTTTAAAAGTTATCTATATTTTACCACAATAAAAAGAAATAAACCAGGCTGGACGTGGTGGCTCACAGCTGTAATCTCAACACTTTGGGAGGCTAAGGTGGGTAGAATGCTTGAGCCCAGGACTTCAGCCTGTCTCTACAAAAAACTACAAAAATGAGCTGGTAAGGTGGCATACACCTGTAGCCCCAGTTACTCTGGAAGCTGAGGTGGAAGGATCACTTGATCCAGGGAGGCAGAGGTTGCAGTGAGCAGCCTAGGCTGGTCTCGAACTCCTGGGCTCAAGCAATTGCCCACCTCTGCCTCCCAAAGTGCTGGGATTACAGGCATGAGCCACAGTGCCCAGCTCCAAATTCGCTTATTAATTCCAACAAATTATTTATAGATTTTTTTGTACTTTCTATGTACACAATTTTGTCATCTGCAAACAATGCCAGTTTTATTTCTTCTTTTCCGATTCTTATCCCCTTTTCTTTATTATATTTATAGAAGTGAACTGTTTGCTATGATTTCTTACCTTGATTTGACAACTGAGTTTTTTTGGGAAAACAAAAATCTTAGAAAATCTCAGTCTTTTTCATCTTGTGAAAAGTCCTGATATTTTCATTACACAATGAAAATCAGACCTGATGTCATCCGCAAGTGGCCACAGCATCCCCAGTTGTGGCTCTCTGTTGACTCACGTTGAAGCATTTGGTACCTCCTGCAGGAGCAGCCATAGTCCACAGTGCTGTGGAAATGTGCTGGCCATGCTCCAGGGACACTTAGACCCAGAGAGAGATGCTCTGAAGACCTGCTGTGGCCTACTGGGGACACCCGTTCTTGTTCCCTGAGGAGCTGAGATGATCCCAGAGGGAACTCCAGGAGCTTGCACAATGTGATGACTTCACCAAACCCTTATGCTCGTATGGCACGGCAGCGGGGAACAGGGACTAGATGCCAAGCTGCCTCTACTGCCTGCTGTTCCTGTTTGTGTAGCAATCCTGAAAATTAACCTGACCCACCTAGGTCTGCAAGGTGAACTCACTGGTGGTCATCATTGGCAGCCAAGCAAATGAAGGCCTTTGGAGGAGTCGCTGTGGTTAAGGGATATGAGTGACTCATGGTGATACTGCTCATCCTATGACAACCATCGTGTAAATGTCACTTGCGGTGAGGCTATTTGGAAGAAACAGTCTGTGCATTTCGGTGATGCGGAGGAAGTGCCTCACAGGACTGCTGACAGCTCTCTGCAATGGCATCATGGGTTTTATTACTAAAATCATAATCCCCCGTGTCACAATGCCACCTGGCATGATCTGAAAGGTTTTCTAGGATTTTCATCTTCCCCAACCAGCTGGGTTTTCTTCTTGGCCTGTGTGCCTGAGTTCACAAAATAGAGCATTGTGTTTGTCTTTCAGCCACGGCTCTGAGCTGGGTGACAGGCTTTAAGACCCCATGCATCCAAACTGCCAATTAAAGAAGGTCTGAATGCTCTGTGCTGTGGGGCCTCTCTGGGTTTTTTTGTGGTATTATTTGTTAATAAAAGTGAATTATTTGCTATGCAGCATTATTCATAATAGCCAAAAGGTGGAAACAACCCAAGTGTCCATCACAGATGAATAGATAAACAAAATATCTATATATACACAATGAAATATTATTCAACCACAACAAAAAGTGAAAAAGTGATGCATGCTACAACATGGATGAATCTTGAAAACATTATGTTAAACGAGAGAAACCAAACACAAAGGTCACACATTGTATAGCACCATTTATGTGAAATGTCCGGAAAGGCACATCTAAAGAGATAGTACGTAGATGGGTGGCTGTCTGAAGATAAAGAGAGGGAGAAACTGGGAGTAATGGCTACTAGGTACGGGGACTCATTTGGGGAGGTGGAAGAATTTGAAATTAGATCATAGTAACGGTTGTACAACACTCTGAATATATTAAAACCACTGAATTGTATACTTTATTTATTTATGTTTCATTTATTTATTTATTTAGACAGAGTCTCGCTCTGTTGCTGAGGCTGGAGTACAGTGGCACGGTCTCAGCTCACTGCAACCTCCGCTTCACGGGTTCAAGGGATTCTCCTGCCTCAGTCTCCCAAGTAGCTGAAATTACAGGCACATGCCACCATGCCCGGCTAATTTTTTGTCTTTTTAGTAGAGATAAGGTTTTGCCATGTTGGGCAGGCTGGCCTGGAACATCCTGGCCTCAAGTGATCTGCTGGTGTCAACCTCCCAAAGTGCTGGGATTACAGGTGTGAGCCACCGTGCCCAGCCTTGTACACTTTAAAATGGTGGCTTTTATGTTACACAGATTTTAACTTAATTAAAAAAGCAAATTATTTGCTATCAACTTATTTTTCACATTAAAAATCAAACATCAACATTACCCTGACACCTGACTCTGAAAGGTCTTCTCAACAGCCCAGGGAACTGCTGGGGAACCATGCAGCATTGGGGTTGGTTTCCAAACGAGGTGGGTGGAATTAGCCTTTACATAATCACATCTCTGCATACGGCCATATCCATGGTTATGGGCCATATCCATGGTTACGAGCCACATCAGTGAATTGCATTCTCTGCTTCAATTTCATATAGTTAGTAAAAACGGCATTTGTGTGTGGCAGTCCATGATGCCTTGGCAAGACCATGAGAAAGGGCACGCAAACTCTGGCCTCTCCATGTCAGGGGCCATCCAGGAGCCTTAACCCACAAAGCACATACTCCTGCCATCAGCACTGCAGGGGCAACAGCGTTTCAGCTTCAGAGTGAGTCTCGCTTTCTCAATACAGAAGGTGGGTCCTGGGTGATTCCGGGAAAGGGTCACAACTCTCTACCCAGCCCCCAGAGAGTAAGAGTGAAAGATGAAAAACTCCCTTCCATTCATTTAGTTTCCTTTCAAGGATCAGAGCCTGGCTGGCAGGCAGAAAATTTCACACTAAAGTGAAACAAAAGGGAGCCAGAAAGGAGGGCAGATAAAGGGCATAACACCCTCCCTGCACTCTTCTATGTACAGAAGTGAGTTCCGACTTCCCGAAGTCCCAGTTAGATCTTAATGGGTTTATCTATGGCATAGAGAGGAGCCAGGTCTATTTCGGTGCTCCCTTCATCAGGAGCTGTACACCATGGGGGAGGGAAGGGCGATTTCATTTGATAACTAGACAGTGGCATGAAAAGGTAATGAAGCACATCATGAGAAACTCACTTTCTTTTTGACTGTTAACCTGGTTCCAACAAGGAGAAAGCCTCAACTCAGAGCTGCTACATCTTTCACACTGCTCATGCTTTGTAACAGAGTAAAAGGAGACTGCCAGCCCTTTGTAGGCAACAGTATCTAGGCTACAATTTAACAAGCCTGTTAAATGTCATTTTGTTTATTTTTACTTTTTGATATTAATTTTACCTATGGCAAGCTTTCCACTTAAGGGAGTGATAATTATATCACTTTTTTAAGCAATTGATTTAAGGATTTTTTAAAAAAGATGGTTCTCTCTAAAGGAAACACAAAAGAAAAGGACAGGTGGTATCCAGATAGGGCAAGAATAATAACAGTGGTCCAAGAATGACATATTCTGGAAACTTCTCTTCCTTTCTGTTACTTCTTTACTAATGAATACTTCTAGAACAACTCTAAAAGCATTCTGTCCTACACATGCCATCTCAATGGTTCTGCTCTCTCCTGTTCATTTTGCAGTGACATTGCTGCACCTGTCAGGACATCACAGGGTCAGAACCCAATGATCAAGTCCAGGCATGGTGGTTCACGCTTATAATCCTAGCACTCTGGGAGGATCACTTGAGGTCAGGAGTGCGAGACCAGCTTGGCCAACATGGCAAAAGCCTGTCTCTACTAAAAATACAAAAATTAGCTAGGCATGGTGGCACATGCCTGTAGTCCCACCTCCTTGGGAGACTGAGGCAGGAGAATCACTTGAACCCAGGAGGTGGAGGTTTCAGTGAGTCAAGATCATGCCACTGCACTCCAGCCTAGGTGACAGAGGGAGACTATGTCTCAAAAAAAAAAAAAAAATCCAATGATCAAGAAGATACCAAACCAGTTCCCATAAAAATATATAATCCTTGTTTGAAGACAGAATCACTGACTTTGGGAATGTGGGTTGGGAAACATGCTATCAGAAACCTGAAAGGGTTAGGCATGATGGCTCATGCCTGTAATTCCGGTACTTTGAGAGGCCGAGGTGCCAGGAGTTCAAGACCAGCCTAGCCAACATGGTGAAACGCCATCTCTACTAAAAATACAAAAAATTAGCTGGGCATGGTGGCACACACCTGTAAAATCCCAGCTGCTCAGGAGGCTGAGGCAGGAGAATTGATTGAACCCAGGAAGTGGAGGTTGCAGTGAGCCAAGATCATCCACTGCACTTCAGCCTGGGCGACAGGGCACAACTCTGTCTCAAAAAAAAAAAAAAAAAAATCAGAAATAACTGATCTGATCTGGTAATATTCTTCAAGAACAGTCCCAAAATTCAAAAGAGGATGAGTACCTTTTAACTTTTCTGTATGTCTGAATTATTTCCTAATAAAATGTTGGACAACAACCACAAAAAGAACAAGCAGATATTATGATGCTCTTGAAAACATCAATTATAAAACTGGCTTACCAATAATAGATTCTTATCAGTGCTGAAGGCCACAGGAGAAATGAGGCTACGAAGGCCAGGATTGGGATGGCCAGTGTCCCACCCGCAATCACAAACATGTTAACCACATCGAGATCCATCCTGCTCTTTCAGGCTGGCTGACACCTGCAGGGGCCAAAGAGAATGATGATATTAAAACTCTGTCTCAAGGGAAAAGAGGCAAAGAAGCAACGGGGACAAGAAAAGTGAAGTTCCCAGAATGGTAACGATCAGGAGGAAAGCAAAGCAGGCAAATGCTTTAAAAAACAAAACAACAACAACAAAAAAAACAAATAGACGTGACAACTAAAAGTAATAAGGAATTTTTCAGAGGAGCTTGGATTTATAAAAAACACTATTAAGGACATTGTTGGCACAAATGTGGAAATCTGAGTAAGGACTGGGTATTAGACAATATCATTGTATTAGTGATGCAATTCTTGAGTATGATGATGAGAATGTGGTTATGTATGTATGTAGGAGAATATCTTCCCTCTTAGGAGATGTCTGCTGAAGTTGTAAGGGGTGAAGTATAATGTTATCTGCTATTCACTTTAAAACATTTGTGAAAGAAAAAGTAATATGTGTGTGTTTGTGTTGCTGGGAAGAAAGGAAAGAGAAATAAAGCAAATATGGTAAAATGCTAACCACTGGGGAATCCAGGTGAAGGTTACATGATATTTTCCTTTCAATCTTTCTGTAGGCTTGCAATTTTAAAAAATAAAAAAGGACAGGTTGGGCGTGGTAGCTCATGCCTGTGATCCAGCACTTTGGGAGACTGAGGCAGGGGGATCACCTGAACCCAAGAGTTTGAAGCTGTAGTAAGCTATGATTGCACCACTGTACTTCGGCCTAGACAACAGAGTGAGAACCCTCTTTAAAAAAAAAAAAAAAAAAAGAGACTTTTAAAGAAATCAATGAACATGTACATGTATACATGGATATGAGAAACCAGTAACGATTCCATTTAAGGTGGAGAATTAGATAGCTAAGTGTCAGGAATAGACAGGAAACTTGTTTTTCACTTTTTAAAACTTTTAAGTTGTTATGTAAATATATAACCTGTGTGAATTCACTCAAGGTAGTATCAAAAAATATTAAGGGAAAAATAGTAAAGAAAGTTACAGAATATAGTCTCAAACCCTTTTAGAAAGCCCAAAAGTTTTTTCATAGTTTCAGTAGAAGTTTTGGCTAATGGAGCCCAAATCCCTTTTACATTTAGTTAATAAGTAAAACAAATAGCTAAAGTATGTGAAAGAGTTTACCTAACTTGTTTACTCATGTAGTCTTAAAAGTAACCTTTAAGCCAGATCGTCCTCTCAAGAGGAAGCTGACCAAGGATATACCCTCTAATAGTGTTTGATTTATGCATCAGAACCTGTGCTTTAATATTTACTCTAGTAGTGCTGACTCAAGCCTTTGTCAATTAAATTTTACTAAATAAATGCAAGTTTCACTGGCTGGGGAGGGCTGGTAGTCACAACTGTTTACAGCACTCTCTAAGGAGTCTGTAAGAAGCCACACAGACCCTCAGCCTAACTAGCAAGCATAATATCTGTGTGTCAGTGTACTCTATTCATCCGTCGCTGAGTCAAGGTCTGCAAGACAGACCCCCGCAGGTAGTGACTCTGACAGTGGCACCCAAATGTAAGGTGACACCGACAATCACCAATTCAAAAAATAAATACATGATAAAAAGTTGGGGGGGGTGGGGCTGGGCACGGTGGCTCATGCCTGTAACCCCAGCACTTTGGGAGGCCAAGGCGGGTGGATCATGAGGTCAAGAGATCGAGACCATCCTGGCCAACATGGTGAAACCCCGTCTCTATGAAAGAAAAAAAAAAAAAGTTAGGGGGGGAATAAGCCAAAAAGGTAGTTTACAGTGTACTTTCTGATGTCCTCCTAAAGACTTACACATCTGAAGACTACAATGTGGGATGCATGAAAATGAGGACTGGGCGTCCCAGCACCAAGACTACGACCTGACACATAAGATGCACTAGAATCCCAGATGAATCAGAAGCCCTGCCCTGCCCTGTCTTATGAGCTTGCAATACAGTTCATTCTAGCACGGAATGAAAAGTACTTCAGGCTGGGTGCTGTGGCTCATGCCTGTCATCTCAACACTTTGGGAGGCAGAATTGGAAGGATCACCTGAGGCCAGGCATTCAAGACCAGCCTGGGCAACATCACAAGACCTCATCTCTATTTTATGTGTATGTATATGTGTATACACATATATGGTGTATATATGCACACATATATATCATAAAATATACAAATATAAATACATAATAAAATACATAATAAATATATATTTCAAGTCCCATCATTCTCCCCAATACAGAAAACACCTGGAAGGACCTGTAAGCCAGGTGTGGCCCTCTGCCTTGATTCCCAGCCATCTGTGCTAAGTGTGCAGGATTCACCAAACGTAATGGAGATTTCTTCAAGAAAAAGCATTAACATCTAACAAATCATGGCTTTCCTTACTTTTCCTGGGAAATGGAGTGATCTCTCCCCTATGCTTCTATCAACTGATACTTACTTCAATTTTATAACAAGTTCATGGAGGCACAGTATAACCTCACATCCACTGAGCACAAGGGTCAGCACACTTTTTCTGTAAAGGGCCAGACGGTGACTGTGTCAGCACTGTGGGCCACAGAATCTCTATCACAGCCGCTCAATCTGCCACTGGATGAGAGAGCAGCCATTGAAGATATGTAACGAATAGGTATGACTATGTTCCAATAAAACTTCACAGAAATAGGGTGTAGGCAAAATTTGGCCTGTAGGCTGTCATTTGCCAACCCTTGATATAGCATATCAGCCCTGTCACATAGGAAAGGCAGGTGTTTCATTCGTTTTATAGGCTGAGGAAACTGAGGCTCTGAGAGGCTAAATAACTTGCCCAAGGTCACCCAGCTGGTGGTCATGATTACAAAACAGGTCTCTAACTCCAAAAGCCTTTGCACCAAGCTCGACTTTGTCTATTTTTTATATTTTTCAAGTGGCCTTTCCTCAGTCTCTGCAACCTCTTTGCTGTTAGGTATCTACATTCATCATCCCTAATTTCTCCACGAAGACACAAGCTCTCCATCTTCAAGTGGCTTTGCCTAGCAAGTACTTCCCAGCCTAAAGAAGGAGACGGATGCATCCACAGGTGGGTTAGATGGTTCTTTTCATTACATACACATATTCTGAGTGCAGTCCTGAGTCTACAGTGATGAAACCTGCCACCTTCCCAGGGCATAAGCACTGTCTGCCTCTGATGCAACTGCCCTCTCAGTTTCTTTTTTTTTTTTTTTGAGATGGAGTTTCGCTCTTGTTACCCGGGCTGGAGTGCAATGGCGCGATCTCGGCTCACCGCAACCTCCGCCTCCTGGGTTCAGGCAATTCTCCTGCCTCAGCCTCCCGAGTAGCTGGGATTACAGGCGCGCGCCACCATGCCCAGCTAATTTTTTGCATTTTCAGTAGAGACGGGGTTTCACCATGTTGACCAGGATGGTCTCGGTCTCTTGACCTCGTGATCCACCCGCCTCGGCCTCCCAAAGTGCTGGGATTACAGGCGTGAGCCACCGTGCCTGGCCTGCCCCCTCAGTTTCTTAGTCACTGTAAACAATTTTCCCAGCACACCTAAATCCCTGAACAATTCACCTATTTAACACTGGCTACAATTTACCCTGCTAAAAGGTATCACTGTCAAGGGGTAAGCAAGTTAATTGTAGACTGAAGGGAATTTGTACAGATCTGTTTGAACACTGTGGGCTGTGAATGAGTTGACAAAGCTTTAAGAAGACTTTTCCACATCATACAAAGTCTTTAAAAACTGCTGAGGGCCACTGTGAATTATTACTGAGCAGCAGGGTGTCCTTTGGACTAGGAATTAGAACAGTTTATGCCCAAAGCCATATAATATCATAGACTCTGACACTGGTGATGATAGCCCCAAAATGAAGGCATGATCATTAAAACAACAACAAAAAAAACCCCACTCTGCTCTGTCAGTGCCTGACATGATAACACAGTCAGTTTCAGCAAAGGTTTCATCTGGCTCCATCTTCTGTTTAACAGCAGAATAAAGTCTTCCATAAGGAGCTTTTGTAGAACATGATCAATTTAGCAATGTTTGGACTTATTACAGAAAACCCTGCACACTCTCCCTGACAAGGTCAAATAAATCCAGACCTTTAATTGAAGAAAGCACAATTCTGAGCTTTCTGTACAGATAGAGTAGGCAATTTATTCCTATCTCTACAACATTCTTTTCCTTTAAAAAGACAGCTCCCCTGCCATACTGGTGTTTATTTCTAGAATACTCTATGTACCTAGGGGAGAGGCTGGAAGCAGAAAAACTGAAGCATTAAGAACCAGGAACTGCCAATGGCCAAGAATCAGAGCTCAACTAAGAAGTGTAACTTGAGTTTCCCAAAGCATGGGACCCATACAACTGAGAGTTTGCAAGATGACTTTAGCAAGCAGGAGTACTAAAGAATGTTTCAGGGTCACATAGCATTAGACAGCACTGACATATATACTAGGAAAGTCATCCCTTTTCAGTCCTTTTCAGTCCTACTTGGGTCAAAGAGAAACTCTCGGGCCGGGCGCGGTGGCTCAAGCCTGTAATCCCAGCACTTTGGGAGGCCGAGGTGGGAGGATCACGAGGTCAAGAGATCGAGACCATCCTGGTCAACGTGGTGAAACCCCGTCTCTACTAAAAAACTACAAAAAAAATTAGCTGGGCATGGTGGTGCGTGCCTGTAATCCCAGCTACTCAGGAGGCTGAGGCAGGAGAATTGCCTGAACCCAGGAGGCGGAGGTTGCGGTGAG